GCCATCCAGAGGGACCTTGACAGGCTGGAGAGATGGGCCTGTGAGAACTTCATGAAGTTCAACAAGGCCAAGTGCAAGGTCCTGCACGTGGGTCAGGGCAATCCCAAGCACAAGGCTAGACGGAGAATGGATCGAGAGCAGCCCTGAGGAAAAGGACTTGGGGGTGCTGGTGGATGAGAAGCTCAACATGAGCCGGCAATGTGCACTGGCAGCCCAGAAAGCCAACCGTATCCTGGGCTGTATCAAAAGAAGTGTGGCCAGCAGGTCGAGGGAGGTGATTCTGCCCGTCTACTCTGCCCTCGTGAGACCCCACCTGGAATACTGCGTTCAGCTCTGGAGTACCCAGCACAAGAAGGACATGGAGCTACTGGAACGAGTCCAGAGGCGGGCCACGAAGATGATCAGAGGGCTGGAGCACCTCTGCTATGAAGACAGGCTGAGAGAGTTGGGGCTGTTCAGCCTGGAGGAGAGAAGGCTCTGGGGTGATCTTATAGCAGCTTTCCAGTACCTAAAGGGGGCCTACAGGAAAGCTGGAGAGTGACTTTTTACAAGGGCGTGTAGTGATAGGACAAGGGGCAATGGATTTAAACTGAAAGAGGGCAGATTTAGATTAGATATAAGAAAGAAATTTTTCACTCTGAGGGTGGTGAGGCAGTGGAACAGGTTGCCCAGAGAAGTTGTGGCTGCCCCATCCCTGGCAGTGTTCAAGGCCAGGTTGGATGAGGCTTTGGGCAACCTCGTATAGTGGAGGGTTTCCCTGCCCATGGCAGGGGGTTGGAACTAGATGATCTTTGAGGTCCCTTCCAACCCTAACCATTCTATGATTCTATGATTCTATAACCAGGAACGCAAAATTTTGTAGAACAAGATCTGCACACGAGATTGGGTTACAAGTGGAAAATAATTAACTGTATCCTACTGTACAGTAGTTAGCAGAGAGAAATTTTTAAACAGGAATATCTTCTATAAAACAAGTAAATCTCTTCTAGTCAGTGCTGGTAAGAACTTCAGTGGAAGTACAGAACCTGTTCTTGCTTTACAAGTAATACACAGACTAACTGAAAGAGCCCATAGCAACACTGAGAAGTTTAGAAAATGTGACTTAAGGGGGAAGGTTGAAAGAATTGAGGTTAAATAAGAGAAGTTTGGGGTAGGTGAAGTCATGGCAATGGTCTTCAAATATAAGGAGCAACTGCAAAGAAGAGAAGAGTACCACTGTGTATAGAGCAAGAAGCCATGAGTATAAAACACAAAGTTTTCAGGTAATAAGGAGAGTTAAGCATTGGACTACATTGCCTAGG